GTACAGAATTAGTGATTTCACCTTCTGAGATCTCTGGTGTGCTACAGTAAGTTGAACTTAACTTTTCTACAGAGAATCTAGATTCTGTGTTATTTCAGCAAAGAAAAAAGGAAATCTGGCAGCAACTACCTTGAGAAATTAAATAGTCAAGATTTTTACAAAGTAAGATAAAGCAACGGAAAATGCAAGCAGCACAGCAGCCCTGTCTTATTTAATATTAAATTGTTTGCTTTGGACTCTCCCTATTTTTCCATTATTCTGAAAGCCTCACATTTGTGTTGCTTGTGAAAAGTGCGATGCGATGCCAGTAGGAGTAATCTGGAAAGCCAAGTGGGAGACACAAAGATGGATTTTTACGATGTGAATCACTTTTCTCTACCATTTGTTCTAATTCTGATTGCTGGAACAGCTCTGCATTTTTAGCAAACTTATTACCTCTCTGATCCCTCCCTGACTCCTTTAGAGGTCATTTATGAATATGCCCTGACTCCAAAATAAATCTGGTGGAGATTTCCCTCCATTGCAAGAAAAATGTCTGCCTACCTTCTGTTTCCTGCCATTCCAAATAACTCAGACATTATTGCCATATTCCAGTACTTGATCCAATAATGCAAGATATTTTAGCTTTCCAGCGAGTTTGACTGGGGAGCTCTCACTGTTGCAAAGAGGATCTATTATAAAATCAATAATCTGTTGCCTCCTTATGTCAACATGCAAGAGGATTTCTAAATCTCTAAGTTCACAAAAACTACCAATGCAAACCTGCTACAGCTTTCAGTCTGACCAACTCCTATTCCTGTAACTGCCAGGAAATAAACCATGCTTTGTGACCCCACACAACTAACTGGGCTCCTCTTTCCCCGACCCCATTCACTCCAAAGATACACCTCACTCTAGTTTCAACAACTTATATTCTTATGTAAAACACGGGACTAATTACTAGTATACATTGGCTGATAGGGTAGGAGGGAGATGAGTAAGAGAGGAAATGCAGCAGCTGGGATGCTGCAGACCTGAAAATACCAACTGGATAGCACAAACAGAGAGAAGCCATGCACAATTAAAAGTACTCACCACTCATAAACTACAGAACTTGCAATATACAGAATGAAGCTTAGCTATTTAATTATTATTAATAATCGGTAGCAATTCTTTTAAACATGCCATTTTTTTCTGGATCATTCTAGATGAACTGGTTTCAAGATACCTGGCGCTTGACAAGCCTGAAAGTAGGTGTGGTGAGGCCTCAGGACTGGCTGGGCACGCTAGAGATGGGCGGTAGAGATTCTCATCATTTGGATGTGAAGCAAGCATTTAATTTAGTCCTTGATCCCATAGCATTACAGAAATCCAGGCATGTATTATATTAATAGGTGTGCCTAAGGGATCCACTCTTTATCTGAGAAGTTTAAGGAATAACAAGTAAAATACGCAATTTCTTTGCATTGACTATAGACCTGTGTCTCCAAACAAGAACCTCTTACTACCTTAGCTGTTAGTGATTTTAATTCCAGTCTCTCATTCTCTTCAGCACACGTTTATGCACAACTTGTTGATTGGTTTTTAATTCTGGAAGGTGACCTTATTTTGCAGACCTTTCTCGTGCGATAAGGAATGACAATAATAAGTAAACAGATTTATTAAACCCTTCTGCATACACATTAAAGGCCCGATACCCTTCCCTCATTCAAAGGCTTCAGAGGTATTTAAAGTCCAACAAGACTTTACATTTTAACAGTTATGCCTCATGAAAGTACCATTCCTCAAAAAACCCCACAACAGAACTAAGTAGTAGGGAGAGACCTTGATATTTGTATATTATTCACAGATCTGAAATCAATTTGCTTTCCTTTGGACACAAAGATTTATCTTACAATAGTAAAATTTGTATTTTTGCTATCCCTTTCCCCCTTCCCCCCCCCAGTAAATCATGGGGCACACAGGAAGATGACTTCTCCTTTTTGTAAGTGACTGAGAAACATAGCCCCCAGAGATCAAAACTGTAAATACTTGCTTGGTAAGGCCATTATGATCTTATTCCATAAACAACAAATGCCACACAGAATTAAAAACCTGTGCATGAGATTTCCATCTGTCTAGATATTGTTCTACCTTTATGTACACAAGCAGATGTAATACGCAGATCTGCTGCTGATCATTCTAAGTATGCAAGCAGTGGAACAGATGCTACTCTGCACCATACATCACTTTACTATGCATGGGCTGTATCTGGCTAAATGTGGTCATCTACAGCTGACGAGCTGTAATCAATGACCTTTGCAATCAGTGGAAAGCTGGACAATGGAGTTAATGGTGTAGATCATCTTATTGGAAGATGATGCTTGCATCTGATCAGACAAAGGGGTTTGATCTCCCCATATTAGATTTCACAAATCTATGCAAAGAGTTGTGGTCAATGGCTCAATGTCTGGCTGGAGACCAGTAACGAGTGGTGTGCCTCAGGGATCAGTGTTGGGACCGGTCTTGCTCAACACCTTTGTCGCTGAAATGGACAGTGGGATTGAGTGCGCCCTCAGCAAGTTTGCCAATGACACCAAGCTGTGTGGTTCGGTTGATCTGCTGGAGGGAAGGAATGCCATCCAGAGGGACCTTGACACGCTTGTGAGGTGGGCTGATGCCAATCTCATGAAGTTTAACCATGCCAAGTGCAAGGTCCTACACCTGGGTCGGAGCAATCCCAGGCACAGATAAAGGCTGGGCAGAGAAGAGATTCAGAGCAGCCCTGTGGAGAAGGACTTGGGGGTGTTGGTCAATGAGAAAATGAACATGAGTCGGCTTCAGTGTGCGCTCGCAGCCCAGAAAGCAACCGTATCCTGGGCTGCATCAAGAGGAGTGTGACCAGCCGGTCGAAGGAGGTGATCCTGCCCCTCTACTCTGCTCTTGTGAGACCTCACTTGGAGTATTGTGTGCAGTTCTGGTGTCCTCAGCATAAAAAGGACATGGAACTGTTGGAACAAGTCCAGAGGAGGCCACGAGGATGATCAGGGGACTGGAGCACCTCCTGTATGAAGACAGGATGAGGAAGTTGGGACTGTTCAGCCTGGAGAAGAGAAGGCTGCGTGGAGACCTCATAGCAGCCTTCCAGTATCTGAAGGGGGCCTATAAGGATGCTGGGGATGGACTCTTCATTAGGGACTGTAGTGATAGGACAAGGGGTAATGGATTCAAACTTAAACAGGGGAAGTTTAGATTGGATATAAGGAGGAAATTCTTTCCTGTTAGGGTGGTGAGGCACTGGAATTGGTTGCCCAGGGAGGTTGTGAATGCTCCATCCCTGGTGGTGTTCAAGGCCAGGCTGGACAGAGCCTTGGGTGGCACTGTTTAGTGGGAGGTGTCTCTGCCCATGGCAGGGGGGTTGGAACTTGATGATCTTAAGGTCCTTTCCAACCCTAACTATTCTATGATTCTATAATTCTATGATTTCCAGTGACTAAAACTGGAACCCAGATGACAAGCTAAGATATTCACACCTACACTTCAGATATTTGAGACTTAGGGGAAGTAAATTCCATCCCAAGAAACCACCCTGCATTAGTAACCTAATTCAACCTGTGCACATGCTCTGTATCTTACTAACTTCAAAAAAAACCTCCTATTTTACAAAAATCTGAAATTCTGAGAAAGGAACTGACATTCACAGGAAGCTGTAACACGGAAGTTAATATCTGAATTAATCTGTAGCCATCAGTGGGAAGATACAGCACTAGTGTGAAGAAGAGTGAAAATAGTGAAGCACAATCCTGCAGATTTTCACTGGTGATTCAGCAGAGTATTTCAGTACATTCTTCACTGTTTTCCTATCCTGGGAGCACAGGCACTAATCCTGTCTGGAGTTATGCCACTGTTTAATGGAAACAGGACTATCTTCAGGGCTTACTCACCACTGAAACCCCACTTGAGCAATGGCTCCTACAGTCCCTGGTCTCCTGCAGCTGTGTGAATTGTCTGTGGCTATTATTACTTTGCAGAAGCTGATCCCAGCATACTTCATTGACTACAGGCCTGACCCAACAAGGTTTTGCAGTATTGTACCCTGCAAGATTAGTGGTGATTTCAGAAGGGAAATAAAGCCCCCACGTTTAGGTAGGTTTTAGGAATCTGTGTCCATAATCACAATCCAAAAGAACCCAGGGCACTGAGACAGGTCTGATTTTCTTTGGATCTCCTTTTTGCCACCTAAGTTGTTCTTGAGTTCAAATGTTCTTCAACCCATCCACTGATGGGTGCACCATTTTCCCTGGGTCAAAAGAAAAACCAACAAGATGCAGAAAAGTGATAATATTTGACTGATCTCTGCGTCAGGAGAGGTGGTCTCTGCTATCTTCCTGAATTAAGATCACAAATTGTTTCTTGATGTAAACATTGTGGCTTCTTTTTATGGTCCCCCAAATCTTGAGGACAGGGAAAGAGGCAGACTAGAGATTTTCCAAAGGGTTAGCAGCTGTTTGCCAGAATGCTCATAGTGGGTTTTTTCTTTGCCTCCCTAAATGGTATGAAAAGCCTACACAATCATCTTTCTTTCTTTTCATTATTTACTTATCCCAGTCAGGAGGAGAGGAGAGCACATAAGTAGTAACATTTAGACAGCACAGCACTGGATTTGCAAGCACCTATGATTTTTACTGAAGTGCAGCCCATGAGTCAAACCAAGCAGATGGCAGCATGGACAAAAACAAAGTAGAAAAGGAAGAAGCTTTGCTCTGGTAAGCTCTGAGTAGACTTGCCTCATTAATAACCAACAAAACATCTAACAAACCAGCTTAGCATAGTCTGGGGGGAAAAAGGGTTGAAAGCATTAGGATAAGTATTCTAAACAAGTGAGTAGTGTTTCCAAAAGAGATAGTTTAGACTTGTGTAAAAAGACAAAAACATCCATCTCCACTGGGGGGTAACTTACTAGACGAAAGGCCATTTAAAGCTTAAGAAGAAGCCTGATATGGAACTTGTATAAGATAAGCTAAGTAAGTAACTGTACTTACTGTGTAAAGCTCGTTAAGTACTTTCATTAAGTCTTCATGAAGCTGAAACGCAATCTCTTTGCTCTGTAATTAGAAAAAAAATCATTAGAAAAAGGCATGCAAAAACTGCAGTGTACATTTTCATCTTGATATTCGTAATCATTGCTCATCCTTGACAGTGAATGCAAAGTTGCTCCCAAAGCCACCGTTCTGACAGATTTACAGAGCACTAAACATACTGATTCAGGGATGTGGAAGTAGACAGGTATCATCTGGACACAAGACATCTAAAGGCAACCCAGAAGAAATCTGAGAGATTTTCCCGTGAAGCGTCAGGAAATTAGGTGCCAAGAGAAAGGGTGAAATTCAGGTTTAATTTTATAAGCCTTTTTAATGGAACAGACTGTGCACTGTTTTATAACTGCCACGATATATACAAAAACTAAGCCACATAAAACGTGATATTCTAGAGGGACATCCCACCCAATTTTACACCTAGAATAGTCTTTGTTTCTCAGCACATGCAACTACCTAAATATTTATGCTAGAAATAATTGTGGCTCCTCTCTGAAACAGATACCCAACTGCATAATATTCCATAGAGCAGGCTGCTGGAACAGCTTTGTTTAGCTTTTCTGGACTGTGTCTTCACTTTCATTCTGACCCAGAAAATAAAAGGCATTCTTAGTGATAGTTATTAACAAAAGCAAGTATGTCAAAATAAAAGTATCTGAGTTTCATTCAGATACATTCCTTTGTTTGTTGTCCCTAGTAGCTCAATTAGATGAAAATCATGGCAACTGTGCAAGAACTGAAAGCATTTGTACCACTGCCTTTGGAAAACAGCTATAGAATAGAGCTACGGGACTTGGCAAACAGCCTGGCTACATTTCTTCTGCAATGCTCAGCACTGTAACATCCACGCTGGAAATGTCAGCATTATTTTCTGTGAATAAATTGATAATTAGCTCAGCTTCTAAAACCTCCAACTTCATCATAGATAATGGCCGTAGCTATGAGAACTACTCTGTATTTGTATAGGAGCCACAGGAAAATCCTCAGGGACAACGCATCTCCAAAGCTGCTAACACATACTTGGCCATAGCTACAACACCTGCAGGAATAATGGTTTCTGAATGAGAATTTCCAGTGCAACGCCCACAAATGAGGAGGAACCACTCCACACATCCCACCCACTGTGTCTTCCAGGAGGCTGAAACAGACACATACAGTAGCTGGAACAGAGTGCTTTCAATTATTTCTCCTATTCCCACTGTCGTACTCTGCACTCTGGGCGGTATATTAAGGAACTTGCTGTATCAGTTACCAGTATTCACTCCAATCCTTACATGCAATATGATTTTTAACCAACAAGAAGCTAGAAATATAAATTAAAACACACTTCAGTGAAATTCTTGTATTCCCAAGGGCATTAGCTGTAATAGCTAGGGCACAGTGAGACTGAGGTTTTGAAGCCGAGTTACACAGAACTACTATGAAACTTTCCTTAGTGCTTATACCTTTCAAAGTCTTGTATTTTTCAGGAGGTATGCTCTACTACTGAAGTACCTAGAACTTAACACTTACTACTTATTTCTTTGCAACTATCAGATAATTTTCCTTTAATACTAAGGACAAAAATTTGTATGCATAACAGTGCCCAGCTTGTGAAGAACTGGAAAAGGATTGCAGATTTGCAAGCTGCTGTGGGGAAACACAGTAAAAGCAAAAATTCTGAATTGCTTTTCATTGCTTTACATTGGCACGCTGCCTTTAAAAGTCAGCAGCACAGCTCTGAAACAGCTTACACATCTCCTCCAAGCTCCAAGTGGAGGCCACCTGTTTTCTCTTGGATAGCTGCTTCTATAGTGCTGAATATGAGTGGTCTGATTTTTAAATCACTTTAGCAGAAAAAAAGGACAAATAAGATGGCTGACACCACGACTAGAAGATGAAACACCTCAAAGCTCACGATAACTCAAGCCCTAAATACAGCAACACCGATTCCAAGGCAGCACGCCTTAACCTGGCAGTGCAAAAGTTTGTTTGAGAAGGTGAGACAGAAAACCCCAAGCCAATTTTCTCTTTACTCGTAGCAGATTTTGTCATAAGCAAAGCACACATTGAAGGATCAACACTCCTTTTCGGTTGCACCTGACTGCAAATAGACAGCAGAGCTGAGCATTTAGGGAATGATGGCTGTTTACTAGTACCCATTTCTTTGCTCCTGTAGAGTTTTGCCCAGCACTGAAGCACAAGCAATCTAGCCCTCAGGATTTACTGGCCACCATGCACACATTATCTCTTTCAGGCAACACATTGATCAGTGGTAAATTTGAGAGTGAATGGAAGAGATCACAGCAAAGAAGGATATATTTTTAGAAAAGGCTTTAAAATGGGAAGTGAAAAGAGAGGGAGGGCGGTAGTCAGCGAAAAGGAGTAAAAAATAGGAAGAGACAGCCTAGCAATGCCACAGGATCACAGATGAGTCATCCTTCCACCCAGTTCATCTAGGGACTCCAACTCTAGTGATGGATAACATGTCAGTTACTGCTTCTTTCTAATGACAGATTTTGTAGGAACTGATAAATAAAAATCAGGAAATTTGGTTACCTTAGCAGTATAAAAAGGATTTATTTTCAAGAACCAACACGTTTGACATTAGCATTTAAGATCAAGAAATACTGACTTGAGTGGCAAGCAATAGGGCTTTTAGTGTGTAATATATAGCATGTAGAGCACCAGATAAAAGGTGCATTTATTTTCAGTGGTTAATGGTTCTCCTATTTCTCTTTTATGCTACCTATCCCCTGCAGCAGCTCAGCAGGTCTGAACTGTGTGCTCCTCTAGGAGCCTTTCCTCAGGGCAGCCAAACAACAGAACATAAGATGCAGCACACATTTTCCTGGAGCTGAGTTGATAGCTCTTATCAGGCCATTAAAACCTGAAAAACGATCACTGAGGTGCGTCTTTATTCACTATGGCCTAGAGAAATGTATTAGCATCTATTAACCAAAAGAACAAAGAACATTACAAAAATGCTAGAGCACACAAAAACTCCTCCTGAAAATGCTCATCTGGTGCAAAGCATTAAGAGACAGTAGTGTTTTTTTTCCACCTGATAATAGGACAGATCACACCCATGAACCAGTAAGTGTACCTAAGCCACCCCTTTCAGTATGTGCACAATTTATAATCATAGAATAGTTAGGGTTGGAAAGGACCTTAACATAATCTAGTTCCAATCCCCATGCCATGGGCAGGGATGCCTCACACTAAACCATCTCACCCAAGGCTCTGTCCAGCACGGCCTTGAACACCACCAGGGATGGAGCATTCACAACCTCCCTGGGCAACCAATTCCAGTGCCCCACCACCCTTACAGTAAAGAACTTCCTCCTTATATCCAATCTAAACTTCCCCTATTTAAGTTTTAACCCATTACCCCTTGTCCTGTCACTACAGTCCCTAATGAAGAGTCCACCCCCAGCATCCCTATAGGCCCCCTTCAGATACTGGAAGGCTGCTAAGAGGTCTCCACGCAGCCTTCTCCAGGCTGAACAGCCCCAACTTTTGCAGCCTATCTTCATACTGGTGGTGCTCCAGTCTCCTGATCATTCTCCTGGCCTCCTCTGGACTTGTTCCAACAGTTCCATGTCCTTTTTATGCTGAGGACACCAGAACTGCACACAATACTCCAAGTGAGGTCTCACGAGAGCAGGGTAGAGGGGCAGGATCACCTCCTTCGACCTGCTGGTCACACTCCTTTTGATGCAGCCCAGGATACGGTTGGCTTTCTGGGCTGCAAGCGCACACTGCAGCTGGCTCATGTTCATTTTCTCATTGACCAACACCCCCAAGTCCTTCTCCACAGGGTTGCTCTGAATCTCTTCCCTCTGCCCAGCCTGTAGCTGTGCCTGGGATTGCTCCGACCCAGGTCCAACTTCCAACACATCAGTGCTCCTACTGATGTTATCAAGATTTATATTTATGGATTAATATCTGAGAAGCTGAAAGAATTATTCCACATTACTACCCTTTCACTGAAGTCTGTAAGAACTTTCCATCTCAGTCAGAGCACAATTGGGCAGCCAAACTTTACTCTTTTTTTTTTTAACTGAAATTTTAGAGTCAGTTCAGTTCTTCCTGGAACTCTTTAGTGTCTGTATTTAGCACACAAAATACTACTCTCAGTTACATCATTCAGGGAAAATATTCTGTGACTATTGCTTTTAAATGAATCTGCTGCTGGTCCCTGGAGGAAGTGATGTGCAAACCTTTCTTTAAGGAGCTTTGATGAGCTGAAGTGACACTGACGTAACCAACACACAGTAAAATGCCAGTCTACGGCAACAAATAGTTTTGCCATCCTTCTAAACCTGCAAATGTTTAAGGAAATCATGCAAAAAACCTCAATATATGCCACAATCTTTATAACATCAGATGGACTTGGCAGGTAGTCATATTCCTTGTTAATAGCCAGATTATGGGACTAAAATATTTATTGTGCTTGGCTTCTCCAGCATCTTTTACTGTAAACACTGGAAGATATGTTCATCTTGGCTCATGACGGTTTCTGTCCAAAGAAAATACATGTTTATAAATTATAAATATACAAATCTGCTTGAGGATTTTGTAGGTGTGTTTATACAGTTGATTATTAATGTTGGGGTAACCAGAATCACTGCATGAAATGTTCTGCATAATATTTTTCCCTTCTGCTTGACATTTTTCCTTATTACTTTATTCTTTAATTGTCCCCATGAGGCCATCTCCCCCATCTGCCTGAAGAAACATGCAAGTATGAAAGGACTGAACTCTGCTACTTTATGTTTGTAATTTTATGAGCAGCATGAAGGCCAGGCATGAACAGTAATCTGCACTGCTTTTATATGCCAGCAACTAAACAGAAGAGCTTAAGTGCCTATCTGGAGGTGTGACATAACAGAATAAGATAAATGCCACAAAACCTCTGAACTAGATCTTATCTCTGTCCTGCAGTTAATACATTTAAACAGATGCTGGTTCCTGACCCCTGGAAAAAAAGAGTGACAAAGAGCTCCTGAGACAACAAAAATCATGAATATCTGCAGGTTAAATGGGACAACCTAGGCAGGAAAGCCATGTACAATCAAGTACCTGAATACAATATATCCCAGCCCATCAGAACATGTAAGGTTGAACCAACAGGGATCATCTCACCAAAGCAATCCAAATGTTGAGACAGACGTACAGATGTACACAAAAGGAAGAACCAGAATAAAGAACAGAGAGAGACAAGGGCAAGGTACAAAAACCAAGGAGCACAGACACCCCTCATCACTGCATTTCATATAGACCAACACACACCTTTTACAGAAAGACTAAAGAAAGGGGTTGCTACATGCTCGTGACTTTGTACTGTATCCCACATGGGAGACGTCAGCAGGAGAGGGAATAAAACAATACCGGTAAGCATGGCCACGAAATTAGGAAATCTAACTGATCTATTCATTACTACAACTCAAGGTGGGGCCAATCTTAGGACAGCATGCAAAACATTACCCTTCTAGAAAATACTTATCTCACTTCATGGAGAAGTTTCATTTGCGCACCTAATTGCCCACCAGTGAGGTGGGAGAAGTCAGTAAGGGTTATGACCAATAAGACGAATGGGAAGCCTCATCCTCTCGGGGGGGGGGGAAGAAAAAAAAGGCAGCAGAAAGAGCCAAAAAGCTCAGAGTAACTCTGCTATTGTCTCCTCATCTTGCTTGGGAGCAATGGGGCAACCTACTCTGAGACACTCCCTTTCTCCAGACATGGAAGCAGAGCTAAAGCACCTCTAAAGATGCAGAAGCTGCTGCTGCAAAACTGAGGGAAAACTAAAACAAGATGATAATAGTGATGCATACCCCTATGAAGTGTAAGATATATAATTAAATGATCTAATTATTGAATATAGAGAAATTTGATTAGCTGGTACTTACTTGGAATGACATTAAATGCTCCTATGTGCAATGCTGTGAGAGCCAATGGAGTACAGATATGTTAGACAGGTGTTATTTCCTGCCCTTGACCATGGACTGCAGTAAGGTATTAAACATGGACTTAAGTCTATATTGAATTCTTCATGTTACTACTGTTCTTATTATTTACATTTATTACTTAGAGAGAGTACATGTTTCATGGAACAGTATGATCAGGCACAAGTATAGAAACACCAGAAGGATATACCATGTCTCTAGTCTTCTATCTGTGAATAATGAAAAAATCCCATTCTCTTTCATAGGGATGACAACACCCGAGACTGATTATAGTTTTCTCTGACAGAATTTTATTCCAAATCCAGTATTTTTCAAAAGTAGCCTACAGAAAGTAACAAAAATTGTTTAAATGTTTTATTTGATGCCTACAGATCTCCAGCAAATTCCATGCTGTTTTCTTCAGGGAGAATACAATTTTGATGGGGGAGAGCGCTGGATGTCACCTTTCTCATTCTAAGTGCACCTTCTCTTTGCTCCTGTGACCTCTCTCCCACAAGAGGGGCTGTAGTACAGGACACGTGCTTTGCACCTAATCTCTTCCTGTTGCCTGGTTGATCTCCATTAAGGAGTTCTGAGGCAGTCTGTGACATATCTTAAGTTAGACTGTTCATTCACATCTGACAGAAATTACCACAGAATCACAGAATCGTTTGGATTGGGAGAGACCTTTAAAGACTATTATGGTTGAAGCTGCCCATGTGGACTAAACATAAGACAGCTTATGCTCTTCATCAGTAACGCTAATAGCTTCACCTTCTGCACAGATCTTAGTGTTTTCTCTCTGTCCAATGTTGTTCACCTCATAACTCCCTTCCCTATCCCAGAAGAGAAACTGGAACTTCATCATTCAAGGTATAATCAGTTGTGCAGCTAGGAACTAAGAACATATAAATCACCAATACTTTGCCACAAACACCACAGCAAGAACCGTGCACATAGGGAATTACTGGAAATACCAACTTTCTCCAAGGAATACTGACTCCTGGCAGACTGTCCTACAAACGTGTGCTCAGAACTGATACTGGTGAACAACCACGGCCACTTCAGGCCACATGCCCATGAATCTCATGTACAGCATGGTGAGGTGCCACATGTCTTCCTGCCACCCTGCCCCTCACACTACCAGCCTGGCTCAGATCCCTTCACACAGCCTTTGGTGAGCTCACTCTGCCCATGCTCCGCCTCAGCTAACAGCTGATTGATGTGACACTTTCATGCTGAGAGTCAGCCGGCAAACCCTGATGAAAGGTAGGATAGGGCTGTTGAGGATCTGGGCTCCACTAATGTGAGCTCCGGATTATTGCACAGCAGGACTCCCTCAATTTCCCTTCTCTTAATTCCCCTGTAGAAGAGCCAATTTAGGAATAAAAAAGCATGAACAGCTGCTTGTGCTTCTTCAAGAAGCTTTGCTAGAAAGGGAAAATCTGAGATGTTGCACATTCCTGGGCACAACCTGGAGAAAACAGACAAGTCTGTCAGGATGATGGGACAATATGCTTCCTGTTAATGCACTGAAAATTCCAAGTATTCTCCTCCTTCCAAGAGATAAGCTGAGGCAATCTCCATTAATAAGTTAATGAGTGAATAAAGGAGGGCACACACTCTTCCACAGAAAACTTTATCTAGACTTTTTCATCCAGTCCACCTGGAGAGAAGGGAAGGAAAAGCAAGATTTACAGTGCTAAAGAACTGAACTACGCTGAAAGCAAACAGGCTAGTCTAATAACATACACCTAGTGAAGAAGAGATTTCGTGATATGAAATGAGCAACTGCAAAACTATTCCAGATTCAATATCAAAAGATTTCTACTGGTCCACGCAAGTCTGAGATATCTCCACATAGTTCCTTTTCCCATTCTCTTTTTAACTTCTCTAATAATTGTCCATATTAGTACGTTTAGTGGTTTGTGAACTAGTTTTATGCATCAGATGTATTATATGAACAGACCATTACTAAGAAATTATAAATTTCAACTCTATTACTGTTACTGGTTTTAATGTACACTAATAAATTTGCTTCCTGTTTTTACTTTTTTTCCTCTAAGTACAACCTATGTGGTCCCTAAATGATTCTTCTTCCCACCCATCACTATCTATGTAGGACTGTGGTCAGGTATATGTGAAACCAGTTCCCTGTTTTGAAAACATTATTTGGGCACCGCTGCCATCATTTAGTCACACACATCCTTTAACCTTTATTGTTTTTGAACTCTTTTCAGTGTGACGCTTGCCTACCAGCACCCCACTGTGACCAACGGATATGCATTTATAACCTATTTTTATTTCAGAACATTAGAACAACAGTGACTACAAACACATTACGCAGATCTCAAACTAAGGCTGCCCAGAGTGCTTGCTTAGCACAAGAGGGATTTACACACTGTATGTGTTATGAAAACAAATAATGGGCACGTAACAAGGACAAATATGTAGAGAGACAATGCTTACATGATCTACTAGAAATAGTTATGTTATCAAAAGTGTATGTTTGCATTTAATGTTGAGAAGGGACAGAAACACTTTTAGGAGCATTGCAGCATACACTATCATCTTTATGCTATGGCATTACAAGGCACACCCTTACTTTGGCTTGATGTTTCTTACATAACAGCGTCACAATGAAATTCTGTTTTTACAAATAATTCATTAATACCGCATTACTATTTTGGGAGTCCTAAGTGAAAACTGTTTCCTTTCTGCATGGGTAGACAAGTGTGCTTTTGAGAGAACAGGCTTTTTCCCCTGCCTTTTGGATATTTGCAATTCAGCTCTTAAGGTCACCAGCATATACAGCAGTTTCCCAGGCATTTCAGCACTAAGAATTTGCTCCGTGAGAACAGTCATGAAGAATTTATACATGTGCTAAAACACATTTTATGCTACGTGTGCTGATTCTTCTCCTCAAATGCTACCTATTAGGACACTTCTGCCTCCCTCATGCATCTTGCAAGCCCGTCTGGAGAACTGCAGGAGAGGCATTACCTTCTTGAACATTCTGGTGGAGTCTTCGCTTATCTGCATGAACCGCATGATCACATTGTTCAGGTAGATATCGCTCAGTGTTGCATGGTCTTTGCTTTCTCTTCTCACTTGGTTCAGAAGTAAGTACCAGCAATTCACCGGTGACAAGAGGTTCTGATCTTTCCTAAGGAGAAGATACACACATGTATTATGTATAGAAATATAAAAGTTACATTATTAACACAAACATCTCTGTGACATTTACAGTCCTAACTCATTCTGTAAAAATGGTTGTTTCTGAACAGTTGGTCAATCCATGCTTGGAATAACTCAGGTTAGGCAAGCTTCAGATCACTTTTAAGACACATTTTAGAAATCCCACAAGGCATGGACACAAAAATATAGAAAAAGTGTAAGAATTCTGAACACTGCAAACCACCTGAGAGCACCAAAACCCCCAAACTCTCCACAAAGCTCACGACTGCTGACAGATGGAGTACCTGTTTGTTCAAAAATCAATAAAGATCACTGTTGAAAGAGTAACAGCAATTAATTTTTGACATCAGAAATGAACAAGCACTGCAAGCGCATCCCAAATCCTTCATGAGCAGTATCACAGGTGTAGCTGTTTCACTGCAATGGATTTGTCTAACTCCTTAAAAGTAGTTTATGTCACAAGCATACATATTCTGTGATCAGCATTCATAAATACAGTCCTACTGCCAATCCCAGACGGTTCAGTTACAAGACAAACAACAGGACCAGGCTTTTTCCACAGCAGTCCAGTTAGGAATTTCCTTGTCAGGCTTTTTCTATTGTAGGCCCACTCCACGCTTATAATATTGCAAAAAGCAACATCACAGATGACTTCTTATTTCTTTTATACAAAGCAAAATAAAAATACAAGTAGTTTAACGACAGTTTCACAGCCAACAATAACTGATTCATAAAATTTGTCTTATGATTTTATTGAAATTTTAATTTCAAGTTTGCCTTGGAACTAAGTGCTGGAGAAACCTGCTGCTCTCGGGTTTTTCTTCTTTTTTTCCCCTCTTGTGCAGGGATATTCCTGTGTCAAAAGGATCAAGCATGTGACGATAAAAACAGGCAGAGGTGGTGATGACTGCAGGGAGAAACTCCTTCAACTCTTGGTAAATTGTCTTAATAATTAACTCTTCCCAGTGTTAGAAACATGCCCTCAATTCCTCATCTAATCGTCTACCTTTATCTTTTACCTCAGAATCAAAGCAATGATGTATGATTAACAGACAAAAGCCTTTTCTTAAACATCAGTGCTTTGCCTTGCCGTGAATCAGAAGTGAGTTAAGGAAACTTCCCCATTTTATTGGGATGGATATCTTAAGTGTTACAGCAAGGGTTTTATCAGCCAGGTCAGTCAACATGAGCACCCCTGAAGGGCCATGCTGATATTACTAGGTCCTCACTGCTTCTGCATGTCCCATAACTGATCCGTCAGACCTTCCTGCCTGTTCCTGGAGGAATGGTGGGAACAGCACAGGTCCACCAGTTAACAGTTACACAGTTAAAGTGACTTTTGCTGCAACCTCTTCTCAAAGCAGAGAAATGCAGAGCAAAGCCAAAGGCAGGACTCCAGCAACAACCCCTGTGCACATCTGCCAGTCTGGATTTAACATGCTTAAGAACGAGGAAAGATGTTTGTATGCACAAGGCAAAAAGATTTTTCCACAGGCTGAATGAAAGCCAGGGTTCTCTTGAAGTAGTGACATAAGCACACGCTGGTTATTTCACAGACTCACCGAGTCACTTAACTGAATGTGAAGAAATATATACTACTGCTCTTTTGAACTGTGCAAGCTGTATTTGGCTTAACTTTTCCATTGCCAGATGTGTTTGGAAAAGACCGTTGTCCTGAAACAAAAGCTCTATCTGTGTATCTCCAGCACAGCACTGACTGGACAGTGGAAAAAGTAATTTATTTTTTGGTTTTGCAAATACAGAATATTATTCTATACCCCTAAGCATAACAGGGCCAAGAGAACGCATTTATTAATCAGCTCAAGCCTGGAAAATAACCAGATGAGACTATGCCAGCAAGTAATGCATTTGAAACACTTTAGAAAGCATGCTGTACACAGGTTTTGCCAGATACTAATCGACCAATTTTGGTTCACACACAAGTTACTATGCCATGAAAGGGATACATTAAATTGTAAGGAAGGCACAGCATTCACATCATCTTCATTTCTTGGAATAAGAAGGGTCAAGAGGAAGCTCAAGTCCACATGTAACAACAAATCACAGATTTCTTTCTTAATGCCTTTTTGCCAAAATTCTTGTTTTTCTTTCTAATGGTGATTAACCTTTATTTAGACACTTTCAGATCCTATCAACTCCACTGTAAGATCAGCACACAGCTTTCAAGTCCTCTTGGGGCTCTGCTTCTCTTTCAGATACTCGTCTGTATTTCGGGCAGTTTAAATTCCATATGGTAGGTTAGGGGTAATATTTGTGCAGCTTACCTTTTAAGAAACTGAACCCACTTGTGAAAAGCTTACACGAATAATTGCAGGGGGCCATACCAACAAAACAGGATTTAGGCACCCATCTACCTTCAGCTGCAATGAGAACTGCTACGCTGCTAAGCAGGGGTGGGAATTTTAAATATGCCTTCGAACCTGGGCTCGGCCCAGCAGTTCTCAAAACCAGCAGAAGCAGAGTGGTGTAGCACTCCCGTAATGGTTAACATGGGGGGGAAGGGGAAGGAAATCTCTCTCACTTGTACTGCTGATGATCCTTTGTGCTTCTTGTTTTTGCCATGAACCTCTCTGCCAATTTTTCCAGGTTTCGGGAATACTCCATCTCTATTTCCGACTTCTTGCGGAAGAAATCCTGCAGATCCTGAAGAAGTTGCACTCTTATTTCAGTCTGCTGCTCCAGGCATTTCTGCTGCTCGATGAGTTGAGCTCGGATCTCTAATGAAGGAAACACATACCCACCCAGGTCAGTGAAGGCAGATGAGAATTAAGTGTTACCAACCCAAATTACCAACGCTCCAGCACACTTCAGCATCACAGCTGCACTGCCTGGACCTGGATTCAGACCCTGTGGTGGGACACAGCAGTGGCAGCTCCCACTTCTGCCACCACTGACATAGGCTGCAGCATCCTCCCACCTGCTACCTGTCTCATAAACAGCTATGGCAAGGGAGCAGGACTCTGCTGGGCTCATGTGAGCAGAACATCTGCTTTCTCCTTCCTCTTCCATCCTCTTCCTGATCTCTGGCATTAGCACAGATCTGACTTGGAGTGACCTCCTTGCAGGAGATGGCATACAACCGTTTCAGCAGCAGTTCCTTCTGATGCTCTGAAAAATGGCAGGATAAACAAGAAGCTTTCCAGCTGGCCCATGCTGGTTGGTATCATCACGTACACTATGGAAACAACCTTGTGATAAACTCTGAAAATATCATCTACCATATCTGTGCACAGAAGAGCTTCTGTATCTGCCCCATCTTGAGACCTCACCTGGAGTACTGTGTGCAGTGCTGGTGTCCTCAACATAAGAAGGGCATGGAACTGTTGGAACAAGTCCAGAGGAGGGCAACGAGGATGATCAGGGGACTGGAGCACCTCCCATATGAAGACAGGATGAGAAAGTTGGGGTTGTTCAGCCTGGAGAAGGCTGCGTGGAGACCTCACAGCAGCCTTCCAGTATCTGAAGGGCGCCTATAGGGATGCTGGGGATGGACTCTTCATTAAGGACTGTAGTGATAGGACAAGGGGTAATGGGTTCAAACTTAAACAGGGGAAGTTTAGATTGTATATAAGGAGGAAATTCTTTCCTGTTAGGGTGGTGAGGCACTGGAATGGGTTGCCCATGGAGGTTGTGAATGCTCCATCCTTGGCAGTGTTCAAGGCCAGGTTGGACAGAGCCCTGGGTGGCATGGTTTGGTGTGAGGTGTCCCTGTCCATGGCAGGGAGGTTGGAACTTGATGATCTTGAGGTCCTTTCCAACCCTCACTATTCTATGATTCTATGATCTCTGGCAGGGAGGGAACTGGTGTACTATAAATGCATTCATCAATATTTTACAGTGAATATAGAGGGAAAAATTTGTGTATATTTAGAAATAGCTATCTGAAGATTTGCACAAGATTCCAGACACTGTGGTACACTCATTAATGTAAATCAAAATCAATTTAGAGGAGAATATATGCTCACAGTTATCATCTAGAGTAACAGGGAAAAGCCTCCAGATTTCTTACCACCGTTTGCTATGTGCACAACTGCTATGTGGTAGTTTTTTCTTTTTTTCCCCTTTTTTTAGCACTTTCATTTCTTGGGTGCTAAGCAGCTCATCACATTACGGGAACACCGAGTCTAAAAACATCCCTCTGGCTCTTTTGAAAGACTGCTTCATTAAGAGTTTTGTCAGCTGCCCAGGCTCAGCGTAATCCAGCCTTGTGGAGTAAACACAGGAGTAAACATTCTGTGACCATAATAAACGTATGTACTTTTAAACATTTTAATGCTGTAACAGGGACTTACTGACAACAAAACAACGTGCCAGAAGTGATGTCCATGTAAATGCAGAATTGTTGTGAACTTTTACTCAATTCCTAATGATGTAACCATGCTGCAGGCAAGATGATGCTGGAATCTTAGATGCCTCACTGCCTTGAAAAAGAATAGCATCCTAAAAACCTCAGCTAACATCCCAGCAAACTGCAAACCAGTTACTAGAAATAACACTACAAAAATATATTTGATGCAATGGGGAACTAGTGCATCCTTACTGATCTTTAAGCAGGTATGAAGGCAGAAATCCATGCTGCTGGGATTCAAATGTGTACACTGAAATAAGGTAGTGTGAGCACAAAATCTGTTTAGCCAACATATTTAGTGGAGGAGGGAGACACTGCAGTGTTTTCTTCCAGATCACCTTTAAGCTACCAGCTGCTGTGTTAATCATTAATGAGACCATCCATTTTCGTAGTCAGGGAGGTGAACCGAAAAAATCATGGTTTGGTTTTCATTTAATTTCACATCAGTTTGTTGGAAAAGGACCATGCCTCCAGCAAGGATAAGCCACTGTAATACAACACTGTATCAATGACATTCATGTACATAGAGGAGAAAATGACACTGGAGCTGGAAGGTTATTAACAGAACCAAAATCCCAAGACTGCTTTTTTTGGGTGTCTACTACTTTTAATGCTGCAATCATGGAAAAATCCTGCATATAGGAAACAAGTTATACAGACTCACTAACCAGAGGCAGCAATTCTGCTCATAAGCTGGAGTTTTGACTAAATGCAAATCTATGTAGTTTGGCCATCTCCTTTTCCCACTACAGACTTTCTACCAGTTATTTTAAAAGCAGAGCTCTGTACAGAGCAACTATGTTCTGATTATTTTGTAGGTCAGTGGATCTTGCTGCTATAATTCTTCCTTTTTAGGCAGGCTTTCACCATAGTAACAGGAGTAAGATTTTAGAAACAGGAATATATGAATAGAGATGCAATGAACAAGGGATGACAGATACAATATGAGACTCTGTGTTAGCTTTCTGATGCTGTCTGGACTTCCAGTGGACAGTAGTGGCTTCCTGCTAACTTGTATATTAGAAAACCAAACTGGAGCCTAGTCTCTGAAAACTGATGGTGGCTGGAGGTGTCCTAGCTCTGAGTAAGGTGGTAAGTTAGGGGTACAGGGGGACTGCAGCTTTATGAAGGAAGTTCCACAATTGCAGGAATCTTGAAAAGGAGAAAGAGCATGCTGGCTCCAAAAGGCTGAGAACTCATGGCCTCTTGACGGAGGAGAAAAAGGGGAGATGCATGCCCACTCCTGTCAGATGACCAGTGTGCAGAAGAGACTTCAGCATACAGTTTTCCTGCCAGTCTTTCATGTCTTTCTACTCTTGCACTTTCTAATTCTTTCGATGAGAAAATGAACATGAGCCGGCAGTGTGTGCTTGCAGCCCAGAAAGCCAACCGTATCCTGAGCTGCATCAAAAGGAGTGTGACCAGCAGGTTGAAAGAGGTGATCCTACCCCTCTACTCTTCTCTCGTGAGACCTCACTTGGAGTATTGTGTGCAGTTCTGGTGTCCTCAACATAAGAAGGACATGGAACTGTTGGAACAAGTCCAGAGGAGGGCAACGAGGATGATCAGGGGACTGGAGCACCTCCTGTATGAAGACAGGCTGAGAAAGTTGGGGCTGTTCAGCCTGGAGAACAGAAGGCTGCATGGAGACCTCATAGCAGCCTTCCAGTATCTGAAGGGGGCCTATAGAGATGCTGGGGATGGACTCTTCATTAAGGACTATAGTGATAGGACAAGGGGTAACGGGTTAAAACTTAAACAGGGGAAGTTTAGATTGGCTGTGAAGAAGAAAATCTTTCCTGTTAGGGTGGTGAGGCACTGGAATGGGTTGCCCAGGGAGGTTGTGAATGCTCCATCCCTGGCAGTGTTCAAGGCCAGGTTGGACGAGGCCTTGGGTGATATGGTTTAGAGCGAGGTGTCCCTGCCCATGGCAGGGGGGTTGGAACTTGATGATCTTAAGGTCCTTTCCAACCCTAATTATTCTATGATTCCATGATTCTTTTACTAGTAACTTGTGTAATGCCACGCTGGCAGGGTAAGGAGATGGCAATGAATAAGACATCAAATGAGCAAATGTTGCGATTCTCACTTGCTGGTAAAAGCAAGCTGTGGATTTTAACAAACCAGCCAACCAACCAAAAAAAACAAAACCACCCCCAAAAAACCCAGAAATTCCCCACAAACACCGGCATAACCACCAGCCAGCCCGAGCGGCTGTGCATCCCAAAATCACCGCTGTCCAAGTACTAGCAATGAACACGTTATCTACTGCTATGGAAAAATGCACCAAGGCAACACCAATCCACATGTGTGATTTCTTTAGGGCTATAACGAGTGGGAGGGAAATTTGTTGCCCGGTATTCAAAGACATATACACCCAATATGCCATGAAGGTGCCAAGTTAAAAACGACTAGAGCCCAAACTCCATAGATACGGAGACAGGTGCAGCAGGCAGCAGAAGGCTGCCTCTCTTATTTTGCTGGCACATTTAAATTCAAAGTCGAACTGATACCAGCTGTAATAGACAATGACATTGTCCTATTCTGCTCTGCAGGGTAGCTGATATCAAATGATTGCCAGGCTACTTTGTGTCAGGAACAGGCAGTTTAAAGCCTGGGTGAATTAACACCTTCTCCTTCTCCCTATAGCAGCTTTGAGTCATGCTCACTGGTTTTCTGGCCAAGGGCTGGCTCGAAAGAAATCCATTTTCACTACAGAAAATTCAACAGACTGAATTAACATCAAATAAGAAAATATTCCTTTGTCCAAGATTTGCGCACCCAACGTAAGCAAGGAAGCAGCGAATGTGCCCACAATGAAATCAATCATCTCTGCGTAGTTTCATTTCTAAAGATGCTAATGTTAAAAATTACTTCAACTATGCCCTCATTGACACCACCCTCTAGAATTACTGCATTAAGTATAAAATTAGGTTTTTTTTTGTGACAGCCTTCAAAATGTAGCTCTAAACTTTCAACAAGTCTTTTTTTTCTTCTGACATGAGGTTAAATCAGTGCACTATGAAAAGCAAAAGGAAACAAGATTATAGCTGTTTTGAGAGTTAAGTATAGAGTGGATGAAGCTGAACTACTGACATTACCCAAATCGTAATCAGAAATAAACTCATGAAGGTTAACTCTTTGCACACAGTACAGTATTACAGATAATTACTTATACAGAACTGCAGTAATACACTGGGTTACCCTGGAGAAGACAGGTGCAACTGGTTATAGGCCAGTGACCCCTGTGAAGGTACCCATGGTGAGATATACTGCAGTGTGACACATAATGATGATGCTGGCCACACTGGCAAGGAGCAAAATTTGTCACCTTCACTTCCATGCACACCAAAGCACGAGGCTCCATCA